TGCGGGTTCGGTGTGAGAGATATCATAATAAATAGTAATAATTATAATAATAGGCACTCATTAACGAGACACTCACCCGAACTGTCCGGCGGCGGGAGGTATGACTGTTGGATATCCGGTCCGAATGGGAAATGGAAAACCTATACATCCATTAGGAATACAATAAATATTATATGTCTATTAATAAACACATTAATCAATATTAGAGTAATTTCTTTTAAATATACTGAAAAATTCTGTGAGTAAATAAAATGTCAAACTTTATGATCAATATTTGAATTATAAATTATATTTACAGTCAAATTGAATGAATGGCACAAAGAATTAGAGCATTAGTAGAAAAAATATATATAAATTTCCAAAATATTTTTATTTGAATTTTTCAAATGAAATATAATCACGAAATACAATATTTTCATTTTAAGGCATAAGAAAGTTGTGAAATTCAATTCAACAGTAAATTAGAGGAAAGTCTATCGCATTATATGAAATAAAAAGACGGAAACAATGACACCAATAATGTATTAAAATAATATATAAATACAATGTATTAAAAGTGTTGTAAAGAAAGGAAATATGAAATAAATATAAAATACAGAATATTCTGCGCTCTTTAAAAACCGTGTTTAATGTAAAGCAATAAACAAAAATTTGCAGCAAAAATAATGTCAATATTAAAATTAATGTATAGAAAAATGTTATAGAAATTTGTTTTAAGTATTATTCAAATGTTAAGTCATATCAAAAACAACGCGTGAACTAAAAATATAAAGTCTAGGAATCGATTTGGGATTTAATTATGATCTCAAAAGTGAGTTCTTATCGCAAAAAACGTAAAAATAATTTCTAATCGATTTCAATACACTATCCGTGCATTTGTTTTGCAATGAATTGTTAAGAATAAGGGAATCGTTAGGAAAGAAAGTAAAGTTATATTCACTATAAAAACAGTAAATCATTGAACTGAGAGAATATAGTTATGAATATGAGCTCGAATTGTGTTTCACATTGCATTGGGATTTGCAGCCAACCCATCACTACATGATTATTATGGCCTAATGTCGCTAAAGTCATATACAGTAATGTATTTGTGCGCTCATGTCTTCTCAGGCCATACATCAACTCATAAATGGAAAGAAAATGTACCAAAAAATACAGAAATACATCTCAATTCTGTGCGAAAACAACGTTCTCTCTCTCTCTCTTAAATTTTCGCTACTTTTTGAAAACGATAGTAAAAGCATAAAGTTTTTAGTTTTAAAAACCAGATATAGTGTATATTATACACTGTGCTGTACTTTACCGTACTTTTAGTGAAATACTCGTGACATTTGTGCAGTAAATATATGTGTTATAATGGGTGGCCACTAGTGTTACAATTTATTCACTTATAACTCATTAATCTTGAAATTGAAATATATTTTTAAAATGAGAATATTTTTTTAACTATTCATCAAATTCTTTGCATCAAAAAAGCTATTTTGCAGAAAAACAAAATGCAAACTCAAAATACTTTTCATAACACTTCATATATGTGTTGACTTGTGTTTTGAAACTAATTTTTTGATAAATAATAAAACATAACATTTAACTTATTGGTTGAGTTCACACATCGGATTCATTCAACATAAAAGATTACAACAATAATAACAAAAAAGGCACACATTTTGTCTGATTTTGAAACAAATTAATTTTAATCGTTTCTGATTGTCATAACAAATAAAAAACAAACGACAAAATCATTACGTGGTTAACGATTCGCTCAATAATAATAACTACACCAACAATAGGTCTCAATCATTAGATTATCGTTGAAATAAAGAGTGAATACAATAATGAATTTAAAAGTATTCATCAAATGAATGAATGAATGGTTTGAAAACTGAATGAAATTTATAGCTTATAAAAGAAGATTTTTAAAAATTCATACAAATTCTTGGTTTTCAAACATAATAAAGAAATGTTGGAAACGAAATAAAAGGAGAAACTTATCGAGAATTCATACAATTTTCAGAGTATTGGACCAAAAATTTAAGTAAAAAAATATTCCTATTGTAGTGACAGTGAAAGAAATGAGTTTTGATAAATTCATATTTATTTGGGTTGTATTTCATGTGTCGATTGGGGAAAAAAGTATATATTCTTCGCTTCTTTATTTATTGTCGGAAATTGAATGAGAGTTTGCGATCGCAGAGAGAGAGAGAGAGAGAGAGAGAGAATATTGGAGATAGAATTTGTGAATTTATAGCCAAACGAAAATGAATGTTAGAAAAGAGTGTTTTAAAGCTCTCGTCGTGTGTTTCTCTCACTTCTCTCTCTCTCTAATACAGAATTATTTTGGGAACGAATGGATGGCTTCATAAATCTTGCGCTTATCTATCACTAAAAACATCACTATATCTCTCACACCGAACCCGCAATTGGGCCACACTTTTCCCTTCGTTACCCTAATTAATGGAAAATAAGTTTTCATCAAAACTTTTTATTTACAATAATTGTAGAGTCGATTCGCAATTAAAATTAGGACTGAAATTATTTATTATACGCCACTAATTGACTGTCAAATGTCTAAATAATTCAATTAAACACTGTTTTTGCAATTAGTTTGTAGACAAATGTTCTCCAAAACTATTGACAAACATATTATGCATTTCTTACGGAAACTATTTTCAACACAAAAATTATTAATTATGTAATTAATGTGCAGAAAATTTATGTGAATATAAAAAGCAAACGCCTTGTGTGTGATATCAATGAATTCACATTAGATGTGAAATAAGCTAATGTTTTTAGGCTAACTAAGAAGAAAAAGTAAGAAATAAACACCTTTTTATATATTATTTACTTTAGTCTTAATGTTTAGTTCATTAAATTCATAACTCTATTCTCAGTTAATACATAATACTTGGCTTTTGATTGCAATTCCTTTAATGAATGCTTTTCCAGAAATGAGTTTTTGTGGACAAAATCACTTTCATATAATTGGCCACTCATTTAACCCCTTATTTATAGTCAAAGATTTCCGTTTTACGGGAAATTATTGGGATTTGCCGTTAATTTAAAGCCTCTCTCCCTTTATAATCATCAAACATATAGCAAAGTATAAAGTATAAGCAAAATGACATTTTTAAAAGTACTAACTTTTAAAAGCATTGGGAAAATGTGTTCATCATTTGGCAAATGATGAATACATTGACAAAAAATTTTAAAAACATCATAAATACGAGAGTCGATGGGAATGACTGCACACGACTTCGTAATCATAAACACGACTCTTAAAAAAGCAAAAATTATTTTCTTTCCCATATATTAGGCACACAACTAAATAAATACTAACATAACAAACAACATTCGCAATCTCTCTCTCTCTCTCTCTCTCTCTCTCTCTCTCCAGAAGAATTGATAACAAAACAGCATTTTTATACAAATGCTATGGTTTTTGTTATATAAGCAAAAGTATAGTTACTGTTGTATTACAATAATTGTAAGTCACATAACGGATGACAATTGTGTGTCAAACTCGCGGATCATTTCATCTATTGATTCAATTAAATGCCATAAGAATTATATTGTATTCTAAACGTGAACTCAATATAAATTTCAAATTTATTTAATAGTTTTGTATTTTATATAATTAATTAACTTAAAGAGACTTTGGTTTTCACAATTCAGTGGCCGAACGCAACATTTAAACTGATGTAACGACTGTTCACTACAGACAGTATCGGTATATCATATCATATAATTCAATGACTTCCAGTGCCTGTGATGTCAATGATGTATGAGTTTTGTATTTATTTGAAAATATTATAAATCACACGTGAATTACATATCACTGGGATTTTGTCTCACATTATTTTTGTGGTGGTATTTATTGACACAACAATACAGTGACACAAATGGAAATCAATATTTTCATTCACTTTAATCATATATACAAAGAGATGAAAATTCTTAATATAAAAATGTTATCAATTACTCGACTCTAAGCGACAATCGATGCAAATTAAGGCTCAGATGTGCGCCAATTAACAAAGCTCTCTCTCTCTCTCTCTCTCTCTCGTCTATACTCTATATAACAATTAATTTAACTGAAAAACAGTGCGAAACAGTTTGAAAAAGAGTAAAAATGTGTGACATTTAGTATAAGAGGAGTGGAAAGAGTTGGAGAGTTAAGAGATGTGGCACTAAATAAGTAACACAAAGTGATGGCAACAAAAAATATTTTATTGGTTAACATTTATTACGCTCATTGAAGCTAACGATTAGTACCTCTTATTTAAATATAGTTATATTTTTTGCTTATTTTGCAATTCTTTTCATCGAGAGAGAGAGAGAGAGAGAGAGAGCTTTGTTAATTGGCGCACATCTGAGCCTTAATTTGCATCGATTGTCGCTTAGAGTCGAGTAATTGATAACATTTTTATATTAAGAATTTTCATCTCTTTGTATATATGATTA